CATCGCCGCCACGCAGCCGCCGAGGGCGACGGCAGGCGAAAGCAAGCGATCCCGGAGCGCGCCGGCCCCTCCCTGCAGCTCCTCGTGTTCCGTTGGCCAGAAGCCGGCGCAGCTTTCGTGTTTCTTCCACAGCGGCAGGCTCGGCTTCCGTGGACGGCTTTATGCTCTAGATTTTCCACAACAGGCTGAACCACAAAGGAATCGCATGGATCGGATGTACGCGTCGCTGAGCCCCGGCCCACAGTTCAGCCCACCTTGTTGTGCAAACCTAGCTTAAGGGGCAGCAGCTAGCTCGAGTGAGTCTGGGCATTTAAGTTGCAATCCTGTCCGGACTTACTGCAGAAAAAAAAATCTATGCTTGACTTTTTAAACCCAATGTTCTGGGAGTTTGGGATCATTAAAATGACAGACAAGCAAGTCATAGAAGAAATGGAGAAGTCGTCATTAAGAAAAGGGTGAGAACTCAGCTGATGAAATGATCTTAATTTGAGTCAAGGCTAGGGTTACCCAGATGACTGTCAAAAGGAGGACTTGTCCTCCTTTTTGTCCCCGTGTCCTCAGTCTGGCAGGCATAGCCTTAAAATCAAACATTGTCTGGCTTTTTGAATATCTTGTTTTTCAAATTTTGGACTGTGTTCATAACAGTAGTCACTCAAACTTCCATGTATTGTGACCTTGTAAATTGTCAGCTTCCTTTTTTTCCTTGTTTGTCGACAGACTTGACAGCCAAATAAATCTGGAATTTATTTCCAGATTCCAGCAATCGGCCTCAATCCAGCCCCTTCAAATCTATGATCACGCTAGTCTGTAGGTCACATGACTTGTCAAATGTTTCTGTGGTGACATTTGGAAAGTGCATTGTCATTGATTCTGCATTATGGTATGTTCTTGAAAATAAAGTTTTGTTAGAAAAACATTGGAATTGAAAAACCAGTCTTTCTGATGCTGGAAAAATAATGTTATATACATGTAGTCCTAAGTATATTTTTGCTGTAATTTTTGTCATGGATGGCAAGATAGTTAAACAGTGTGTCACCCTTTCCCCCATTTCTCCTCCTTGTCTGGATCCTCCATTGCCTGTTCAGGTATCTGGTAACCCCAGTCAAGGCAAGTGATGCTAGTCTATGTTCCAATTACAGACGGAAATGGAAGTTTAACATTTTTGTAGTAATTTGCAAGATCTTGTTAACACCGCAAAAATCTTATGCTAGTTATAAGACACTGGGATGCTAAAATTGGAATTAAAACCGCACCAAGAATAACAGGAAAAATGGCCATAGTGTATGAAACAAAACAGAGACAGAATAGTAAGAGTTACAAGAAAATTAATTCTTTATAACATATTTTCATCCAGCCACCTAAAAGATGACTCCACACATGGAAGTTACTGGAAGGACAAAATCATATTGTCCATATACTCAGGCAAGCAAAGATGGAAATGCTCTATTCAGTCAGTGAAACCAAGATCTTGTAGTGACTGCAGTTCAGCTCACTCCTTCTTGCAAAATTATAATTAAAGGAAATGAATAGAATTATTAGACCGATAAGATATGATGTCAGCAATATTGCATATTATTATGCAGTGAAGAAAAAGATTAGATTTAATGGATTAGGTTTGTTAAACAGAGTGCATGAAGGATTTGGGACTGACATTTATGATACCATTGAAGATGAAGCAAATAAAATATCCAAAATGTAAAACAGAAAAGAAGGCAAAATAACTGTTGATATATTGAAAATAGCTGATAAAAGGCAGCAAAAGGTAATAGAGACAGAAATTTGCCCCAATAAATGCTGTTTCAGGGAAGAACAAGAGTTTTATAAATAATGCAAAGGACAATCAAATGGGGAGTATGAGAGACTTGTTGAAGAAAATTACAGAAATCTAGGAACATCTTTGGGCAAAGATGAGCATGATAAAAGATAAAGGCAAAGAGTTACCAGAGAAAGAAGACGTGGTGCAAATATATGGAATAACTATACACGAATAATCTCTCAATCACTGATGCATACAAGATTTGATCACTGAACTAGAGCCAAACATTCTGCAAAGTGTAATCAAAGAAGTCCTATAAAATATTACTAATAAAGCTGCGGGCACTGAAGAATTACCAGCTGTACTTTTGTAACTCTGCAAGAGGATACTGTTAAAGTGCTACTTGTGGTTTGTAAGCAGGTATAGAAAACACAGCAGTGGCCAAGGGATGGTAAAAGATCAGTTTATAGTTCAGTGTCAGAAAAGGATAGTGCTAAATAATGTTCATACTGCCACCAGTTATCTGTTAGTAAGATAATGCTTTTGCAATCCAGATTTCAGTAATGCATGGAATGAGAACTGCCAGAGGCACCGGAGATCACGCTGATAACATCTGGTGCATAGAAAAAGCAAGGGAGTTCCAAAAAGATATCTAATTTGCTTTATTGATTATATTAAGGCTTTTGACTATGTAGACCATTGGTTCTCAATGGGGGCGGGGGAGC